GAGCCCTCCCCGAGGCAGAACCCGTCGTGGTCGCGGGTGAGAACAGCAGAGAGGGGGGCTCAGAAGGTGGGTAGGATTCCTCCTTGTAATGGCACTTTAAAAAGAGAAGTTTCTTTTAAAGTTGGGGAAAAAAAGAAAACACACACACAAAAAAAAAACGCAACACAACAAAACCACCTCCTAAGCTGTCTTGCCCGTCGTCCTTTACAGCATCTGACAACACTTTTGAGTCTGAAGCTATTTTGAGAGCCGCAGATATTGACAAGAATGGCTTAAAATGAAAATTAACTGCTTCACAGAAAGTACTCGCAGGACACAAAATTAGGAATTTGAGGTATGAAACGATTTGTGGCACAGCTGGTATGTAAAATAAAACCATCAAATGTCTTGTCATAATCAAATATTCCCTAAATCTGGACTAGCGACATTGCTTTTGAAAGATGTCGTTCCATATAAATGCCTTTAACGCCTGGTAGAAAATTCTTATGAACATCTTGACAAATGAAATAACCCAGGTTATTTGATTAGTGTCCATGTAATCTGAATATTGGCTTGTATTGGGAAAAGAAACGTCAACCCTTTAATGCTTTTGAAAGGATGGATTTTCGCTGCAATTAAAGAGTAATCTTATACCAATAAAGAAAGTGAATCACGCTCTACGTGTTCTGCGCTACGGGGAGCGAAGAGGACGAAGTCAGGAGTCCGTGTTTCCTTTCAAAATTCAGCTCAGGCAGAACGAACGACGTTCTAGAGCGTAACGGAGTTTGGTAGCTGCCCCCTCGCCGTGGGAAGCTCTGCATCCCACCGCCCTCTCAAGGACGGGTTTATGTGCCGCTGGCATCTCTTAATACCTTCTTTGGAAACACTTTGTGATTTGGGGTGCAGATGTCAGGAAACCGAAGTGAACAATGCCGCGTTATAACCTCGCAAGCGGTTACACTTGCGCAGCCCCTGCGCACACAGCTACGGAGGGCAGGGAGGGATGTTGCCACCTGCCTTACGGAGCCTGAATCACTCTGAGACAGTGCGCTGTGGTAACCCCTGTCCCAAGCTAAGACCCGCATCTTGAAGTCGGCTCGGCTGGTGCTTGGTTTGGTTTT